CAGCTCTGAACATACATCCTCATCATCGTCCCAGGGTGTGAAAGGGGTCTGGCGCTTCACACAGGAAGACTGCGCCAGCCCCACACATACACAGACGAAGAAGAGGGGATGAGACGAAGAGGAGGGAAAGATGGGAATGTCGTCAACACCAAGTCTTCGGCACAGGCCCAAATAGTCCCTCGTCAAAATGTCTGAATCCCAAATGTCCAGTCTGGATCCAATGTCGTCTAGTCTCGAGTCACAACTCTGTCTCTCTCTGTCGTAGTCCGAGAAGTCAGGTGGTGAGAGGGTGAGAAGAGATGGTGGACTTAGAAGAGGAAGAAGAAGAACTCTCTCTCTCTCTCTCTGTGTCCAGTACTAACCTGTGAAGTTGGTGCCTTGATGCAGGTACCTCGCAGATGGAGCTGGAGCGATGGCGTCACAGGTAAGTACCACTGGCCTCCGCCAGTGTCTCTCCCAACTCTACTATCTACCACCTATCATAGCGCCCAGCGCTGAAGGCTACCTCTATGGCTATGGGCGCCCAGCGCCGAAGACTACCACTAGCRCTAACTACTACCTAGCGCTGAAGACTACTGCAGCGCTCCTCCTGAGTGCTGCGGCYGAATCCTGAAGACTACCCGTGCCTACTGAAAACTACCTCCCCGTGAAGTGCCTGGGAAGCCCTATGAACTACCCGGGTGCCTCCTGACTGCAGGCGAGCAGTCCAGGAGGCTGCTCTTGCCAATGCYGATCGGAGGCAGGGGCTGCCGCTGCAGCTCCTGCTCAASCTCGTGAGGAACARGCTATTTCTGGCCTGTYCCGCATCCCTGTTTAYGTGCCTGAGTCTTAGGGGCGGTTGAAACAATGAGGGCCTGGAAATGGCCCTCCGTTTCAGGCTGGAAAAACTCTGGGTCTGAAAGACCCAGAAATAGGCTGAAACGGAGTAGGGCCTGCAGGCCCTCGTTTTTCAGCTTTCAGGCTGAAACGACCGGGGCCTGTAAGCCCTAAGTTTTAGGCTTTTAGGCTGAATGTCCGGGACGGGCCCTGCAGGGCCCGTGTGGCTACGCAGTATGCCACACTCTATGACTCCAGTCTTTTTTGCGGACTACCCCTGAGGATCCCTCCTCAGTGGGGTTTGGTTCGTGGTCTCGCTGATGGTCCTTCTGCGGATCACTGTGGATATCAGACTTCCTAGTTTTTTTGGCAGGGGAGCCAAAGCTTCCCACGTGCCCCGCAAAGTTTCCTTCTGATATCAATTTTTGACTTATAGTCCTTGGGCTAGGCTTCTGACTCGCCGGGGTACGTCTCCCTTCCTTGTCTGATGTGGTAATGGCGTCCCGGCAGTCTGCGTATTCATCATCCGAGGAGTCCTTTATACTCCTCTTCGATGGTGTAAGTAGGTCCTGAGGGAAGGGATCTGGTGTATCACGATCCCTTTCCGTCTCCTCTGACCTTTTCCTGACCGGTGTGTCTTCCCTCCCATAGGTTTTGCTTATGTATGTGGTATCAAACTTGTAGATCGACAGGGGAACTGACCCCTTCCCTTGCAGGTCCTCCAGTTCCACCTCAGAGGGGTTATTCCCTGTCTTCTCCAGGTTGTCCTCCACCTCTCCTTGTTCTTCCATTAATTCATCCACGCCTAGCTCTGCGTCAGATCCTTCAGGTTCCGAACCCTCTTCATCCATGTTTGAGGGAGACGAGTCCGAGGCTTCACTGTCAGAGTAGCCCATACTCTCTTCCTCTGACCTTTCCAAATCTGCATTTTTCCCTTTCTTATCTTGAGGGTCCTTCTCCTCTTCCGCCTCGTCTTCCGACCTGTCAAGTTCCATTGGCTTTCCCCCTTTCAACTCCTTCTCCACTGTTTTACCAGGGCTCGGATTTCCCCCTTGATTCTCGTCGCTGTCCTTCGCCTCCTTATTCCCATTTTCTCTGACCTTCTCTCCCGTTTCATCCCTAACTCTTTTCGTTCCTGACCCACTCTCCCCATCATCTGTCCTACCCCCCCTTGCCCCTTTTCCCC